GGATTTTAAAACCATTATTATTTATTATAAATTTATTCAAAAATTGAATTTTTGGTAACGTTTTAGCTTCTATTCAAGAAATAAGACCTGAACAGTCTCTATCACTATCAGCGATTTCCATTTCGTCTAAATTTGATACTTAGGAAGAAAAACACTTAAATTTTATACCTTTACGCATTTTAAGTTTATACATTGACTCTCACATATTTCCTTCATCATTTGCCAGACAAATGTGGGCTCAATTCTGCTTTCGATCAATCCCTACCTGGACGTGGGCAATCCGCTGACCCTCACATCGACGCGCGACCTGCCGCTGGCGCCACAGCTGCAGAAGATTGTGCAGGAGGCGGTCCGTCAACAGAGTGAAACGGGATATCCGCAGGCCATCATCCTCTCGGGCACTAGCGGTGCCGGGAAGACGGCGAATGCCATGCTCATGCTGCGCCAGCTCTTTGCCATAGCCGGTGGAGGTCAGGAGACGGATGCGTTTAAGCATTTGGCCGCCGCCTTTACAGTATTACGCTCGCTTGGCTCGGCCAAGACAACGACCAACTCGGAGTCCAGTCGCATCGGCCAGTTCATCGAGGTGCAGGTGACGGATGGCGCACTCTATCGCACCAAGATCCACTGCTATTTTCTGGACCAGACACGCGTCATTCGCCCGTTGCCCAAGGAGAAGAACTATCACATTTTCTACCAGCTACTGGCCGGCCTGAATAGAGAGGAGCGCCAGAAGCTGCACCTGGAAGGGTATTCGCCGGCAAATCTGCGCTATCTCCGTGGCGATGTCGCCCAGAACGAGCAAGAGGATGCGGCACGTTTCCAGGCCTGGAAGACCTGCCTTGGCATATTGGGCATACCGTTTCTGGATGTGGTTCGTGTCCTCGCTGCTGTGCTACTGCTGGGCAACGTGCAGTTTGTCGATGGAGGGGTAAGTTAATTTCATGTACTTTTAATGGTTAAATGACTCCATTTCGAGGATAACTATTTATATATATGTATATTATCATTAGCTAAAAATAAGCTAAAAGTTTGTTAAGCTGAAATAACGTATACTTGTTTTTTTTAAATACTTGTAAATAAATGGCGTGTGATGCGACAAAATTGCCGTTGTATTGCGCCATCTATTGTTCATTTTATATTAGTAGTGCTGCGAGTATGAGTAAGAGCGCCATCTATCTATTAAATCACTGAAACTTCATGTGCGAATACTTATTTGATAGTAATTCACCCACCCAGCGATGCTGAGATGGTGCTTGTAGTAGAGTGTCGCTCTGTTAATCAGAAGGCTGTGGGTTCTTTTCCCGCTTGCGTTAAAATCTCTTTCAAACTATTAACTTTTAAATTTCTTGCGCTGATGTGACTTAAGGGTAATTTACGTCTGAATTACGTTGTGTACGAAACTTTATAAATTATTTTATATCAATTTAATTTTTACAATTTATATATATTTTTTATTTAAGCAAAGTTTTTTCTTTATTTTTCTTGCAGGGTCTCGAGGTAGATGTGAAGGGCGAAACGGAACTCAATTCGGTGGCCAGCCTCCTGGGCGTGCCACCTGCGGCGCTGTTTCGTGGTCTTACCACACGCACGCACAATGTGCGTGGGCAGCTGGTGAAGTCGGTCTGCGGCGACGGCGATGCCAACATGACGCGCGACTGCCTGGCCAAGGCGCTCTATTGCCGGCTGGTGGCCACGATAGTGCGACGAGCGAACAGCCTGAAGCGCCTGGGCTCCACGCTGGGCACGTTGAGCTCGGACTCGAATGAGTCGGTGCACAACCAGGCGGACGCAGCGTCCCAGCACGCATCGACCATTGGCGGCGGCAATGCGGGCTCCAAGTCGATGGCCGCACTGAACAATGCAGTGCGACATGCAACGGATGGATTCATCGGTATATTGGACATGTTTGGCTTCGAGGAGCCAACGCCGCATGCACAGCTGGAGCACTTGTGCATCAACTTGTGTGCGGAGACGATGCAACATTTCTACAACACGCACATCTTCAAGTCATCCGTGGAGTCCTGCCGGGATGAGGGCATCGTGTGCGAGACCGAGGTGGACTATGTGGACAATGTGCCGTGCATCGATCTGATCTCCTCGCTGCGCACTGGGCTGCTGAGCCTGCTGGACATGGAGTGCTCGGTGCGGGGCACAGCCGAGAGCTACGTGACCAAGCTGAAGGTGCAGCATCGCTGTTCGACACGCCTGGAGACACGCACCGCACTGGAGCCTGACGACCCGCGACTCTTTGCCATCCGCCACTTCGCTGGACGCGTCGAGTATGACACCACCGATTTCCTGGACACCAATCGAGACGTCGTGCCGGACGATCTTGTCGCCGTCTTCTACAAGCACAGCTGCAACTTTGGCTTCGCCACGCATCTCTTTGGCTCCGAGCTGAAGGCGCTCTATGCCCAGCAGCAGGCACCGCGCGGCCTCAGCTTCCGCATCTCACCCACCTCGCACTCGGATCTGCTCAACGGCGATGAGCCCGTCTCGACGCTCACGCAGGACTTCCACACACGCCTGGACAATCTGCTGCGCACTCTGGTTCATGCTCGTCCACACTTCGTGCGCTGCATCCGGAGCAACATGTTCGAGCAGCCGGGCAGGTTTGATCGCGCGACGGTGGTGCGCCAGATCCGCTCGTTGCAGGTCTTGGAGACGGTTAATCTGATGGCCTCCGGATTTCCGCATCGAATGCGCTTCAAGCAGTTCAATGCGCGCTATCGCATGCTCGCGCCCTTCCGGCTGCTCCGCCGCACCGAGGACAAGGCTCTGGAGGATTGCCAGCTAATACTGCAATATGCCATGGGCATGGAGCAGCTGCCCGTGCAGGACGGTTCGGTCACGCTGGCCTGGGCGCCGGGCAAGCGGCATGTGTTCATCAGCGAGGGCATACGCCAGCACCTGGAGCATTTGCGCACCGAGATTCGCCACAGGAGTGCCACGCGCATGCAGGCCACGTGGCGTGGCTATTGGTGGCGCAAGAAGATGGGCAGCACTCTGAAGCAATCCTGCCGTCCAGACACCGGCCTAATCGCTGCCCTGCCCGCCATCGCCAGCACCTGCGCCAAGCTCGTCAATGCCCACAACAATCCCAATGGCAAAGCCACCTCTGCAGCTATGGCCGCTCTAGCGGCTGTGACCAATGCAGCTCCCAGCACGGGTAAGTGGCTTTCAATGGATAATCTCTATATCACTTCTAATGCGCCTTCCTCTCTCTCTCTCTCTCTCTCTGCAGTGCCACGTCTCTCTGCAAAGTCCACAAATCAAGCTTCGTGCCTGGGCATCGGCGGCACTGTGACCCGTCCGCGACCTCAGCCCATTGCCGGCACCCCACCTCCAGATCCGCACGAGAAGTGTGACCAGAAGATTATCCAGCAAACATGTAGCCTGTTCGGATTGGATTTGGTAAGTGATGAAGTTTAGACAGCCTGCGAGGGGGAATTGTTGGGGAGGAGAAAGAAAAGTGAAGAAAAATGCTGAGGTGAGAGGGAGAGCCTTAATCTCTGTATGAATGCAGGTTATTCCAAAGAAATAAGCATCCCTAAACAATGCCAAAAACCAAAAATTTCAATTAGATTATGTACATAAAAAATATTTGTAGAAGTATTATATAAAAATCCTTAAATGAAGTAAATTTTAGTGTAAAATGAAATAGTTTCAATTTAATTTAATTGAATAGATAAACACTTACAGAGAGAAGACAATTTATATCTCTATAAAATCCAATTCCATTCTTAAGCAAATTGAGTGTACAAAAATAAAATTGTTTAAATTTCATTAAGTTTCATAGATAAAGATAAAGAGTTAAAAAGAGGCAAGCAGAGAGAAAACATTTTGAGCCCCAACAAAATCCAATTCCATTTGGCATCGCATTCATTTGCTTCGGTTTTCTCACGCAGATAAATTTACTATTATTTCATTTTCTTTATTACATGCAAACTATCACACTTGGTTTGGGATTATGGCGCTGTGCAGGAACGCCCCCCACCCGTTCCACTGTCACGGGCTTACACAATCACGGCCAATTCAAAGAAGCTGGGCTATCCGCAAAGCCGCATCATGAAAATGAATTTTCCAGAGGACGCACTGGCTAATCCGGCTCCTGCTCTATCGCCGACGGCCTCCACTGAGCTGCAGCAGTTGAAAAAGGGCGACACCGTCACCGTGGTGGGCGCCTCCAGCGGTCGAGGTCACCTGATTGTCGAGCACAAGGGTCAAACCTATCATGTGCCGTTTCAGTATATGGAGCTAGCGTCTGGCAGCACTGCTCCCAGCAATGCCAACCTGACCATGCAATCCGCTTTGATGTCAGCTGGACCGACTAACGGGGTGAAGATATGATAAGTTAACACTGGCCAGCGAAATTCTATAAGTGAATTAGATTAAACTTTTCTGAATCGGAATCTGAATCTAGAATAATATTCTTAGATTCCGGGGTATCTGTATATTCTGTAAGCTTGAACATTGAATGATTTATTTATTCGATTCGAGGGTATCTTTGTCACATACACTTTTCTAAATATTCTTTATGTTGTAATACTTACAGCTATTTTGATTTTGTTTTCTTTTTCTAAAAAAATATCCAGGGTATGTCTATCACTCAAAGTTTACCTCGAATAATCGAAAGTAACTTTCTTCATCTGCATTTTCTTGAGATATTAGAATATTTTGAATACACCAAATTTTCGAGACATTTATTCATTCTTAAAAGCTTAGTCCACTTCTTATTAATAAATCTAGTTGGCCTGTGTAATTTATCCCATCTAGGTGCGAGTCCAACTATCAGCATCAAAGACTGTAAATAACTGACAATAGCATTAGTATATATCATATAAGAAAACTCATTGTTTTTCTCCTAGTATTTTCTAGACTATGTAATTAGGCTTAAGCTGATGTTCATTAGTATTATTCGATGCATATTACGATAGGTTGTAGCTTCCAGTGCCAATCAAGAGAGTTCTTCCAATAACTTTATTAAGATCAACTTACACACATTCCTCTATAATAATTTTATAAGCCGCCTAGCATTAGTCGCTTCTGAAGCCTCACATACCACAATGTTAAATTAAAACTCTGCGGTTCTTTATTGTTACTCAAACACAGCCTGATTCATGTCCATATATATTAAATATATCCAACACATAAGTGGAATATAATTATTGCTAAGTGCATTTCCAACACATAGGCATGCATATATTTAGCCACATATACTTTGTGCTCCATTTAGTATATACGATCTAGATTAAGTATACATTCTTCATAAGGTATATCACCATAATAAAATGGATATTGTGGTCGGTTGTGTTGTCTCGCAAATAAAGTTCTTTTTTTTAAAGCAATTGTGTTTGGTTAAATTAAAATTGGAGTTGGATGGATCATATTGAATAAGACCGCACATATTTTCTTTGTGATCCGAACGATCGTTGAGCATATTTGCCACTCTGCCTGTAGTTAGCGAGAAGAAGATATTCCTTTTAAAGAGATTATTTATATCCGTCCAGTACTCCTGGGAGCTACTTAGCTTCGGGGCCACATTGAGCAGTTCGCCTTTGTTTTGTAGATTGATTAGATGTCCATCGATCTGACGACACTTTTCTGCAGCTCCAAACCAATTTTGAGTCTCCCGATTTTCGAAATAATAGTATTTCTCGCCGACCTTTTCAAAAGATTCCGGGATTTTCTCATGGAAATTATCCCTTATACCATGCTCAATGAGCTCTCTTGTATTTGTGCCTGAAAATGTATGGTTAGTTATGCAATAAAAATAATTTTCTTCGGACCAGAACCTTCCATCAAGCCTATCACCGCTTGGACATTACGCAAGCCCAATAATATTAGAGCAAAACTTGAAAATATAAAAGCGATTCGCTGCGTCATTATAATGCTCAAATGTCGCTTGTGCCGCTTGGAAAGAAACTGATTAAACATTCAGTTGCCATTTGGAATTTATAGAGGCTGTTGCTGCTTTTAGTCAGAGAACTCAAGAAATCAAAAGTACGAGAGAACATGCGAGAAGGCAATTTCAAGAAATGCTCCCAGTGATTAGAGGCTCTCGTTTTTTCGGCTGCACCTTCGGGTCCCTTCCGGTAATTATGTATGCTTACATTGCGCCCTCTCCTCTCTTACTATGATTTCTTTCCTTCAAAGAGAATATACCAAATAAACAAAAGGGATTTTATTATCAACTAATCTATATTAACATTATAACGGATTATATTTTTTGGAAGAGCAGATATTGTAAAAAAAATAAATTTCCAAAAATTTTGAATGAGTTCAGAGTTTAAATGTTAACTGTGTTAAAACATATTATCTCAAATAACTTTATCAATAACAATTAATTCTTGTGATTAAATTTGCTTTAACACTTATATCTCCCCCAGTCCCCTTTGCCATGCAAATGGAGTAATTGATTTGTGGCAATAAATGCCAGGGGAGTACAAACAAATTACCAGGTCGGGCAGTCCAATATCTACTTCACCTAATGGCCTTATCTGCGTTACACACACATGTTGCTATAAGTACTGTGCATCAGTTTCGAGTGGGACTCGACTGTAAGCAAACATATTCAATTGCATTTGTAGATAAATCTTCCATGTATTTACTGCGCTGCTGTTGCGCTTTTGTTATTCCCCCGTGGAACATTTGTTGCCGGTCTGAATTAGGCAAATGCGACTACAAGAGTTGGACTATGGGTAGTCCTCTATTATTTGCAAGAGCATATACTCCCCTCTCATGCACAATGCACAATAAAGCAATAACAGTTTAGAGGCTTCGCCAATTTAAGCGAAGAGCGATTGCCTAGAAGCATAAACAAGAAATCTGTAAGCAACAATTTTAAGAGAAATCTTAAAGAAATCTCTTATTAATGTATTACAACATATAAACATACAGCATATAAACATAGCTAAAATTAAATTTTATAATATGTTTTAGTAATTAGTAAGGCTGCAACAATTAAGAAAAACCTTGATTTGCATATTTCAATATACTTCAATAGGTCAGTTTTCGCTTCTGGGAGAAGAGGATTTAGATTGGAGCTGAATGGCAGAGAGCGTGCGCCAATCAGTATTCGTCATGAACCATCAGTGGTAAGCAAAGTATTATTTATATGTGTTATAGTAGTTGTATAAACTGTGTAAATTTAAAAGCCGATAAATAATAAAAAAAAATAATTTTTATCAATAATCAAACTGAATTTTTATTTAACAGGGTCTCTTTGCTGGCAAAGAATTGGATTCAAAATCCAACGGCCAATAGATGGACAATAGAAAATATTGTAGCATAACTTAGGGGGCCATGGCTGTGGTAACAGATGAAGAGAAATGTTAGCTAAAATAATTCTGTTACGTTGCTGTTATATAACAGTTCGTAAACATTACACTGCTACTATACTGCTAAATAACATTTTCGCCCTATGGATCACTTCTATGCGCCTGGTACTTCGCCAAAATGCCTGCTTAAGTGCCCGAAGTACCAGGCGAACAGAAATGCGTAGTAGGGTGGAAAATGTTACCTAACAGAGCATTAACAGGATCATGTTCATCCACTGTTATTTAACACGATTCTGTTAATTAACATGATTATGCTAAAATTCTGCATACTAACAGTGCTGGTAACAGTGTACTTTTACTGTGCTGTTAACTAAGAGAGATGAGTAGTAGCTAAACAACTCTCATGATAACTAGAGTTTCTCTCATCCTACTTGTTATTTCTGTTCGCCTGGTACTTCAGCAGCCTCGAAAGCCGACTTATGAGGCTACAGCTGACGGTCGAACAGACGGACATAGCTAAATCAGCTCATCTTGATGCCCTGATCTGGAATACACATACCCTGATATCTCATATTAAAATAAAACCCCTTTTGTGATGTTTCTCTAAATGTAAATTTATTTAATTTTGTTCATTGCGATATTAATGTATGTTAATGTTTATAATAGACACAATATTCCGTATATATATATATATTATATATAAGTATATATGCAGGCGCATCTCGTTAGATATTTGATGTATATATAGCAAAATATGCACGCGTGATTCGTATTATTATTTACAGGAAATCCCTTTAAAAGAGTTTAAAGTTCAGAATGAATGGAATTTTGGCACAGATAGGCGTGTTCAAGCACAAAGCAAACCGTAATGTATGCATATATAATATAGTATGAAATAGTTCCCAATGAAAAGAATAAAAAATCAAAAATATTTAAATAGCTACTGTTACACGTATTCAAATCAAATTTTGAGGTGGGAAACTTGCTTGAACTAGCTTTGGATTCAAGGGCCAAGACACGTGCACATATAACATATGTATATATTATAAATGTATATATGTTTGTGTGTGTGCTAATACTAAGGCATACCTATTAAAAGATTTTTTGCGCGAGTTCCATTACAGTTCATTTGTTTTATATATTTTTTTTTTAATTTTTATTTTTTTATTTGTTCTTAAATTGTTACTAAATATTTGATTACTTTTTAAATTTGTTAATACTCTTCTTTGTGTTGGTATTTTTCTTTGGCTTTTGAACATTTAGACGAGCGAGAGAGCGAGAGAGGATCATGATCTTAACATTTATAGTTTGATGGTGCAATAACTCTTTCAACAGTGTAGCAACAATTTGCAGTATGGTATACATATATATAGTATATAAGAAAATTTTAAACTCTTTGTGCTATGCAGACAGTGTTAGTGTAAGTTATACATAGTAAATCCAATATATATATTTC